GCGAACCATGATCCACAGAAATTTGTAGTGCGAATAAATTTAGAGATAAGAGTCCTTTAAGCAATCGGTAAAGTGCAATGGCTGATAGTTGTTACCTTTTCAGGTATCACCCAAACTTTATCATTTTTTCTATTCAAAATATGTACTTTTTATAAGCACTTGGGGTTTTTCAAGCGAATGAATAAATTTAAAAACTTAAATTGAAGTTTATGAATTAGCACACAAACAAGAAACTAGTGTTACTTCTTAACGCCTTTAACATGAACTTGGGCACCCAAATTTTATCATTTTTTCTATTCAAAATATATACTGCCATATACTGCCCAAGTTCATGTTAAAGGCGTTAAGAAGTAACACTAGTTTCTTGTTTGTGTCCTAATTCATAAACTTCAATTTACGTTTTTAAATTTATTCATTCGCTTGAAAAACCCCAAGTGCTTATAAAAATTTCCTTTAGAGTAATGCCTACATTTCTCGGTTTTTCTTTATGTCGTTTCTCAATTTTCAATAGTCATTTCAAATAGTGAAATAAATATTACAGGGGATTTGGCAGAAGATATGGCGTTTGAAAATTCTCCAGTCGAATATTTTTTGGAAGGAGGACTTCTGCTGATGGTAACTGATGAATTTGTTATCATACAGCGTTTTCTATGAACAAATTGTGCAGAATTTCCTCGCCTTAGGAACAAGGTTTACGTTGTGTCTGAAGGGAAGCTCCGTCTCTTCTACAAATTAATTTTGTTTTTCGTTTTCCAATTTCTTTACCACTTTTTCCAACTTTTCTCCCATTGTTTTACCGTAGTAATACCACCAAACATATTTCATCCTTGAGAAGGGTAGACTCGCAGAGCTCGGTATAATGGGCTTTATTTGATAAAGAAATAACTTTATTGCTTAATACGCAGAACGATGGTGGCTAAGGCGCGACTGTTCAATACCAAACATCAAGGGAGCATTTCGTTGCTATACATATGAATTAACACGGCTTATTGAACGCTAACTTAAATTTTATTAAGGCTGTACCAGTACAAACTTCATTTTGCAACTGGAAAACCAAGTATTTTTCTACTTATTGAGCAAATTTCCTATTGCATTCAGTGGCTGATTAGCACTACTTTTTTTCAGGTTAGCACTGTCGGCTTGATCTGCAATTTTCTATCATTCCTGGTGCTCGTCCGGCATAGATCCTTTCGCAACTCGTTCGGCTATCTCGCTGCCTACCATGCATTCTCTAATGCTGCAGTTCTGCTTATATTCACCTGTTGGGCCGTCCCATGGACTATTTTGTAAGTTGACGGGTATACTAATAACAGTAATAAACAAATGTCCACGGATTTCCATGGAAAATTTTCTATGTGGGAAATGACCGGAAAAGGTCGGATGCGGATTTGACCCTTTTCTAAACAGGTGTAAAAAGTTCCTTTTGATTAAATTTATCGAGTTTGCTAAGACTTCATATCATTGGGAAGTTAACAGTTTCTAGTTTGAATGTTTAAAAGTCAAAAGTTAGTAGGAGTTCTTAATATTTCAAATGTTCTACTAGTAAATGATTACGTTGCTTGCCTTGGACTTCAGTCTTTGTCTTTTTTCCATGCTGCTGATAAAAAATAAAAATTTACGTTGAAAAAGTGGGGAGAATTTTTTCGATAATCAGTCTCC